AAAAACTCCCATTCCTATTTGTCATGCACTGTTGTGCATTTTAAACGTTAACACAACCTTTTCCTCATAAAAGTTGATCACCTAAAAGTTGTGAAGTTGAAGTTTCCTTTTTATTCTTTAAAAACTGTACATTTTCATTGATTTTGACTGCCATGGGGGCATTTACCCCAAATGCACCCACTGGATCCATCAGTAACTGAGAAGGTGGAAGATGACCCGTAATAAAAAGCATTGTGCGACACATGAAATATACATAAAATCTGTAAACATGAATTACGTGATCAGTAATTGGCATTAACACAGCAGTTGTGCCAGCTTTCAACAGATGTTTCATGTCATTCAAAGTCTTAAACAACACAACCTAAAACAGGAACCATCGTTTTAAAGGTATAACCTTACCTAACCTGACCTACTGATGTTTGCCTACTGGGGGAAAAGGAAGAAGTGACTTGCATGAATAGATTGCAAGCAATGGTAAGTCAAATATTTTTAGGTTAAGTGGTTATGCATCAGGCTTCAGGCCTTCGGCCTGAAGCCAGATACACAACCACTTAACCTAAAAATATTTGACTTACCATTGCCTGTAATCTCTCCTAGGGCATTGCCTTCGGCACTGCACCGCTCCGCCACGATTATTTTGACGTCACTTTCCTTACAATTTATTATCAACCGTAATTTCGCTCAACCTTGGTTGGACCATTTGTAGCGGGTGCGCCGCGCAGACGGTCTTTTGACACGTGCAGTTCCGAGCGCTGTTCGGCGGCCGGCTAGCGCGCTAGCCCGCGCACACATACGTGCACGTTGCCCCGGCAACGGGCTATTGACCAATGAGAAGCGCGCTACGGGGGGCACAGGTATATGAAAAATCGCAGTGACGTTGCACTTTCCTCGCTTCTCATTGGTCAATAGCCCGTTGCCGGGGCAACCAGCACGTATGTGAGCGCCGGCAAGAGTACTAGCCGGCCGCCGATCAGGGCCCCGGTCGGAGGTGGGGCCGCTGGTGGTGATACTGGTGATACTAATGTACTGGTGCTTTTAAATTGGTTTCTAGAAGGAATAAGTATCAGAAATGAAATCAGGAGGTCTTAGAGTATCGTGTGAATGACTTTTATTTACCCCTCTGTTTTGCGGACCTAAAGTAAATAAATACCATTTCTTTCCAACCAAGGAGAGGCGCTATGCCTGGCCCTGGAGGTACTTCTTTCTAACAAAACCTAAACAAACCTAAACCTAACTTAACAAGATGCTCAATTATATTGAACCTAGCATCAGCATTAGGGTGTGTCGATAGTCGCAGATTCGCGTTAGACAAAGATATAAATTGGCGCGAGCATGCCAAAACACTAGCCCTGCAGTTGGTTTTGCGTAAAAATGCGATTTGACGAGGCTCGGGCAGGTCGAATTTACAGCGAAAAAGTCGCAGTCGACGGTGCTGCCACCTACATTGCCAATAACGGGCACTATCATATCGTGATAATTGGGGTAGTTTCAAATGAGAAATGACTTCTATTTTTGTTCAAACTGCTTAAGAAGAAATAAAACTTTTCGGAAACAAACATTTTTCCCAAATATCGCGTTCCATTTTTTCCTGTTAAGTTGTTAGGAAAGTGGTAAATTTCAAGGTTGACGGCTAAAAAACGAAACAGGAGGAACAGAGCAGGAATCACCAAGACGTGTGCCGCGCCGATGCTGTAGCCTGTAGATAAGGGGTGAGCAACAGAACCAGCATACCTAACGATTTTGATTAGTGATAGATATTTTTCTCTAAATGAAAGACTATTAGTAACTCAGGCAAGCCTTCTAATATAGGTATCGACAGGGTTGCGGTAAAAGGTACAATCGATGGCACATTACAATTATTCTGAGTTGGGAAACAACACTCTTCAGATACCTACCATCAACAACCTCACTATCTCCTATATGGGAGCTATATCATCTGATTCCAGCGCCCTGAAAACAAACAGGTTATTACCAAAAATCTCTATATTAGCGCCTACCGACATACGCTGAATGACGCTATCAATACCCGACATTTGTAAAAGGTGATTCGCCACACAGCCCGCCGGCGTCTGAGGGGTTGAATAAGTGAGCCAGATTGCCAGCGACTCACCGCTGAACTACCGGGCATAACAAAACGGACGATGCGACATGACTCAGAGATCATCACAGACGCAACGAAAAATGTAACCGAAGGCCATCTGAGCTGTTGTTGTTGTTGTTGTTGTGTGTTCCCTCCAGCCGCGTCACCGCGGTGTAGCCGTGCGGCTCTGGAGGTCCCTCACGGCGGCCGCCAGGGCCGCCACCTCTCCGTCGTCGCGGACGTCTTCCGGGTTCAGGAAAATCGTTCCGTACATCCGGAGACGCCAGCCCATGAGGGCCGGGCACCGGAAGAAGAAGTGCCGGGGCGTGTGGCCTCCTCCCGGCACACGGTGCACCGGCCCGCCGCACAGTCGGTGTCAGGGCACTGGCGGCAATCATCGGAAGGGTTCCGTCCAATCCGGTGAAGGTATTGGCGGGATCCTGACCAGTGGCCCGTGCGGAGCTGGTGGACGTCGACGGCCGACGATCTGTCCCCCGTCGCGGCCGGCGGCGGCAGCCGGTTCTCCATCAGGGTCAGGTACCAGCCCTCCGGCCAGGCGGCGATGGTGCGGTCGCGGGCCAGTCTGGCGGCCGCGCGGTGGGCGGTAGCGACGTCCACCGGGACCGCCGCCTGGGGGAGCGCGGTCGCCTCCTTGGCGATCGGGTCGGCGCGCTCGTTTTCGTCGACGCCGCAATGGGACGGCACCCACCTGTAGGTGGATCCGGCGGGACGGACCGGCCAGGGCCGCTAGTTCGGTCCAGATGGCGGCTCCTAGCAGGGTCTTCTGGGACGCCGGGCCCTCTCTCAGCGTCGCGAGGGCCGACTGCGAATCCGAGCAGATGGTGATCGGCGCGCTCGGCTGGTGCGGGTGGTCGCGCAGGTGGTTCAGGGCCGCGCGGAGTGTGACCATCTCCGCCCTGAAGCTCGAGCAGAGTTGACCGGCAGGGACGCGTAGCTCGTCGGTTGCACCGTCCGGCCACTCCACAAAGGCTCCTGCTCCTCCGCTGTGGACTCCCGCATCCGCCGATCCATCCGTCCAAACCCAGATGGCTTGCTGGGGGAGGGACGCTAGGTGTCTCTGCGCCGCCTGGTGCAGTTCGTCAGGTGGGGCGTCCCGCCGCAACGCTCCGATGTCCAGGGAGAATGTGACGTGTGGGCAGGCGGCCACCTCCCACGGCGGCGCGCGGGCGGGCAGCAGGGGCTCGATCGTGAGCACGATCCCAGCAGCCCGCCAGGTGTCGTGCCCCACCCCGCCCCATCTGAGCTCGTGCGGAACCCTCGTTCAGATACGTAATATCGCTATCTGCCACCTCGCGGTTCCCTTGTCAAGCCGAACTCATAGGCGGCGGAACGGGGAGGGCACCGCGGCACCGTGCCCCCTTTGATTTTGGCATTTTAACATTAGCCCTATGGGCGTTGCATGGAATGAATGGGACCAAAAGTCGGCAGTGCCCCCCTTAATTGAAGGTATTCCGCCGCTACTTGGCCGAACTGATGACACGCAATGGCCAGTCAGTCACAGCTCAGCTTCCTGCGGAACACAGGAAGACACATTCAGTGAGAGTCGGTGGTCATTGATTGTGTCAATATTATTGACATGGTGACTAAAGAACGGTTATATTGCGCCAATACTGTTGCCAGTAGCAGCACCACCAATCTTTTGAACTAAAACCACTTGACATCGGTAAAAAGAAACCCTCTAGCTTTTTTTCAAGCAATCCGTGAATTACAGGGGATTAGAAAAACCGAAAACCCAAATATTAGCACTAGATAACATAGATCTTAAATTTTGGCCAACATTTTTAAAGCATAGGTACATCAGAGGAGCTGTTGGCGGCTTACCGTCGCGTCTGTGATGATCACTGAGTCATGTCGCATCGTCCGTTTTGTTACGCCCGGTAGTTCAGCGGTGAGTCGCTGGCAATCTGGCTCACTGATTCAACCCCTCCGACGCCGGCGGGCTGTGTGGCGAATCACCTTTTACAAATGTTGGGTATTGATAGCGTCATTCAGCATATGTCGGTAGGCGCTAATACAGAGATTTTTGATGATAACCTGTTTGTTTTCAGGGCGCTGGAATCAGATGAAATAGCTCCCATATAGGAGATAGTGAGGTTGTTGATGGTAGGTATCTGAAGAGTGTTGTTTCCCAACTCAGAATAATTGTAATGTGCCATCGATTGTACCTTTTACCGCAACCCTGTCGATACCTATATTAGAAGGCTTGCCTGAGTTACTAATAGTCTTTCATTTAGAGAAAAATATCTATCACTAATCAAAATCGTTAGGTATGCTGGTTCTGTTGCTCACCCCTTATCTACAGGCTACAGCATCGGCGCGGCACACGTCTTGGTGATTCCTGCTCTGTTCCTCCTGTTTCGTTTTTTAGCCGTCAACCTTGAAATTTACCACTTTCCTAACAACTCAACAGGAAAAAATGGAACGCGATATTTGGGAAAAATGTATGTTTCCGAATTGTTTTATTTCTTCTTAAGCAGTTTGAACAAAAATAGAAGTCATTTCTCATTTGAAACTACCCCAATTATAACGATATGATAGTGCCCGTTATTGGCAATGTAGGTGGCAGCACCGTCGACTGCGACTTTTTCGCTGTAACTTCGACCTGCCCGAGCCTCGTCAAATCGCATTTTTACGCAAAACCAACTGCAGGGCTAGTGTTTTGGCATGCTCCCGCCAATTTATATCTTTGTCTAACGCGAATCTGTGAGAAAACCCCCTCTGTCGACACACCCTAATCAGCATCTTCATCTTAAGGTCCAAAATCTGAACGCCTATTGCAATAGACTTTAGGCATAGATCAAGATTAGCTATGTATTGCCTATTGGCTTCTTAGCAGCTTTAAATCAACGCTAGACCTTTGAATTAATTTTTCAACAATACAAGCAGCCTTCTCACCTACCTGTCAATATAAAATTTAAACAAAATGGGCGAGAAAACGCGACCACAATTGTCACAAACTCATTTGCGTATTTTCCTCATTCTCTTCTCAAGGTACGTCCATCAATTGAGCAGCAGATTGATATTCGCGAATATCAAACTAAAAATTCGATATTCGGACGGGGAACGCAATAACTCAAGAACCAGTGAACCGATTTTGATGAAAAGACCCTCATTCGATTCCTCGTTCCTCATTCCAGGTTGACAGCGATTTCCAGGTCACTAGGTCATGACCTTCAAGGTCAAGGTCAAGGTCAAAGGACGGGGAACGCTCTACAGCCTAAAGTTACCGTCCGATTGGCTTGTTAATGGTCTCAATCGATTCCTCGACCCCGATTCCAGCTTGACAGCGATTTCCAGGTCACTAGGTCATGACCTTCAAGGTCAAGGTCAAGGTCAAAGGACGGGGAACGCTCTACAGCCTTAAGTTACCGTCCGATTGGCTTGTAAATGGTCTCAATCGATTCCTCGACCCCGATTCCAGCTTGACAGCGATTTCCAGGTCACTAGGTCATGACCTTCAAGGTCAAGGTCAAGGTCAAAGGACGGGGAACGCTCTACAGCCTAAAGTTACCGTCCGATTGGCTTGTAAATGGTCTCAATCGATTCCTCGACCCCGATTCCAGGTTGACAGCGATTTCCAGGTCACTAGGTCATGACCTTCAAGGTCAAGGTCAAAGGACGGGGAACGCTCTACAGCCTAAAGTTACCGTCCGATTGGCTTGTAAATGGTCTCAATGGATTCCTCGACCCCGATTCCATGTTGACAGCGACTTCCAGGTCACTAGGTCATGACCTTCAAGGTCAAGGTCAAGGTCAAAGGACGGGGAACGCTCTACAGCCTAAAGTTACCGTCCGATTGGCTTGTTAATGGTCTCAATCGATTCCTCGACCCCGATTCCAGGTTGACAGCGATTTCCAGGTCACTAGGTCATGACCTTCAAGGTCAAGGTCAAGGTCAAAGGACGGGGAACGCTCTACAGCCTAAAGTTACCGTCCGATTGGCTTGTAAATGGTTTCAATCGATTCCTCGACCCCGATTCCAGCTTGACAGCGATTTCCAGGTCACTAGGTCATGACCTTCAAGGTCAAGGTCAAGGTCAAAGGACGGGGAACGCTCTACAGCCTAAAGTTACCGTCCGATTGGCTTGTAAATGGTCTCAATCGATTCCTCGACCCCGATTCCAGCTTGACAGCGATTTCCAGGTCACTAGGTCATGACCTTCAAGGTCAAGGTCAAGGTCAAAAGACGGGGAACGCTCTACAGCCTAAAGTTACCGTCCGATTGGCTTGTAAATGGTTTCAATCGATTCCTCGACCCCGATTCCAGGTTGACAGCGATTTCCAGGTCACTAGGTCATGACCTTCAAGGTCAAGGTCAAGGTTCGCGAATATCAAGCTAACAATTCGATATTCGGACGAGGAACGCAATAACTCAAGAACCAGTGAACCGATTTTGATGAAAAGACCCTTATTCGATTCCTCGTTCCTCATTCCAGGTTGACAGCGATTTTCAAGTCACTAGGTCATGACCTTCAAGGTCAAGGTCAGGGTCAAAGGACGGGGAACGCTCTACAGCCTAAAGTTACCGTCCGATTGGCTTGTTAATGGTCTCAATCGATTCCTCGACCCCGATTCCAGGTTGACAGCGATTTCCAGGTCACTAGGTCATGACCTTCAAGGTCAAGGTCAAGGTTCGCGAATATCAAACTAACAATTCGATATTCGGACGGGGAACGCAATAACTCAAGAACCAGTGAACCGATTTTGATGAAAAGACCCTTATTCGATTCCTCGTTCCTCATTCCAGGTTGACAGCGATTTCCAAGTCACTAGGTCATGACCTTCAAGGTCAAGGTCAAGGTCAAAGGACGGGGAACGCTCTACAGCCTAAAGTTACCGTCCGATTGGCTTGTTAATGGTCTCAATCGATTCCTCGATCCCGATTCCAGGTTGACAGCGATTTCCAGGTCACTAGGTCATGACCTTCAAGGTCAAGGTCAAGGTCAAAGGACAGGGAACGCTCTGCAGCCTAAAGTTACCGTCCGATTGGCTTGTAAATGGTTTCAATCGATTCCTCGACCCCGATTTCAGGTTGACAGCGATTTCCAGGTCACTAGGTCATGACCTTCAAGGTCAAGGTCAAGGTCAAAGGACGGGGAACGCTCTACAGCCTAAAGTTACCGTCGGATTGGCTTGTAAATGGTCTCAATCGATTCCTCGACCCCGATTTCAGGTTGACAGCGATTTCCAGGTCACTAGGTCATGAGCTTCAAGGTCAAGGTCAAGGTCAAAGGACGGGGAACGCTCTACAGCCTAAAGTTACCGTCCGATTGGCTTGTAAATGGTCTCAATGGATTCCTCGACCCCGATTCCAGGTTGACAGCGACTTCCAGGTCACTAGGTCATGACCTTCAAGGTCAAGGTCAAGGTCAAAGGACGGGGAACGCTCTACAGCCTAAAGTTACCGTCCGATTGACTTGTTAATGGTCTCAATCGATTCCTCGACCCCGATTCCAGGTTGACAGCGATTTCCAGGTCACCAGGTCATGACCTTCAAGGTCAAGGTCAAGGTTCGCGAATATCAAACTAACAATTCGATATTCGGACGGGGAACGCAATAACTCAAGAACCAGTGAACCGATTTTGATGAAAAGACCCTTATTCGATTCCTCGTTCCTCATTCCAGGTTGACAGCGATTTCCAAGTCACTAGGTCATGACCTTCAAGGTCAAGGTCAAGGTCAAAGGACGGTGAACGCTCTACAGCCTAAAGTTACCGTCCGATTGGCTTGTAAATGGTCTCAATCGATTCCTCGACCCCGATTCCAGGTTGACAGCGATTTCCAGGTCACTAGGTCATTACCTTCAAGGTCAAGGTCAAGGTCAAAGGACGGGGAACGCTTTACAGCCTAAAGTTACCGTCCGATTGGCTTGTAAATGGTCTCAATGGATTCCTCGACCCCGATTCCGGGTTGACTTTGACCTTGACCTTGAAGGTCATGACCTAGTGACCTGGAAATCGCTGTCAAGCTGGAATCGGGGTCGAGGAATCGATTGAGACCATTTACAAGCCAATCGGACGGTAACTTTAGGCTGTAGAGCGTTCCCCGTCCTTTGACCTTGACCTTGACCTTGAAGGTCATGACCTAGTGACCTGGAAATCGCTGTCAAGCTGGAATCGGGGTCGAGGAATCGATTGAAACCATTTACAAGCCAATCGGACGGTAACTTTAGGCTGTAGAGCGTTCCCCGTCCTTTGACCTTGACCTTGACCTTGAAGGTCATGACCTAGTGACCTGGAAATCGCTGTCAAGCTGGAATCGGGGTCGAGGAATCGATTGAGACCATTTACAAGCCAATCGGACGGTAACTTTAGGCTGTAGAGCGTTCCCCGTCCTTTGACCTTGACCTTGACCTTGAAGGTCATGACCTAGTGACCTGGAAATCGATGTCAAGCTGGAATCGGGGTCGGGGAATCGATTGAGACCATTTACAAGCCAATCGGACGGTAACTTTAGGCTGTAGAGCGTTCCCCGTCCTTTGACCTTGACCTTGACCTTGAAGGTCATGACCTAGTGACCTGGAAATCGCTGTCAAGCTGGAATCGGGGTCGCGGAATCGATTGAGACCATTTACAAGCCAATCGGACGGTAACTTTAGGCTGTAGAGCGTTCCCCGTCCTTTGACCTTGACCTTGACCTTGAAGGTCATGACCTAGTGACCTGGAAATCGCTGTCAACCTGGAATCGGGGTCGAAGAATCGATTGAGACCATTTACAAGCAATCGGACGGTAACTTTAGGCTGTAGAGCGTTCCCCGTCCTTTGACCTTGACCTTGACCTTGAAGGTCATGACCTAGTGACCTGGAAATCGCTGTCAACCTGCAATAAGGAACGGGGAATCGAATGAGGGCATTTTCATCAAAATCGGTTCACTGGTTCTTGAGTTATTGCGTTCCCCGTCCGAATATCGAATTTTTAGTTTGATATTCGCGAATATCAATCTGCTGCTCAATTGATGGACGTTCTCAAGGTCACATCGGCGCTTTCACAGGCTCGTCAAAATGGACACATATTCATTGGAGGACAATCATTTGAGAGGACACAATCATTGGAGGACAATACAATTATAATGCTTGGCATATTCATTTATCAATTATCATTGTACGAATGGAAAACACTTGAGATATTGGTAATGGTAATATTTATTGTGTTGGATTTTGTGGTCCATTACATACAGGGTGTCCCAAAAGTAAGGTCATGATTTAAAACTTAAATATCTCGAGAAGTAAGAGTCCGAATCACTTCCAATTTTAACACGTACAAGTTACATCCATAAAATTATTTTCTTGCATGCTTAAACCATTTTTGATCAAACCTACACCGAGCAGTAGGCATAAAACTGAGAAGGTCGAAATTCAACTCTTAGAGAGGGTCCGTCATTAAAACAATGGATAAATACCGCCCAGTTTTCGGCCCTAAGCAAACCCTATCAGCTCGCCCTATCTCTGAACTCATGCATAGTTTCGCATCAACCGGTAAAACGTCAGAAAAAAGGTATAATGTACAGCCCTCTGCAAACTGCGTGGTAGGTATTCTTTTTTCGACAAAACCGATAATAACTCAAAGGCTCTGTTATCAGTCGGTCGGATCTCATTGCATATAGATGCGCCATGCTTCACTCCTTCGATTGGTTCTATCACTGAACAAAGTATAGGCCTAGTGTAGCAACAAAATGCAAAAGTTTGTTTTGGGGGCAAATATAAACTTTTGTGTGTTGTTGCTAAACTAGATGAAAAATGTATACCAAAATAAGCCCAATCTAATGTGCGGAGCCTCGCGCGTCTTCCCGTTACGATTTCCGAGTGACCGTTAGCATAGCATTCGCGTTATCCTCGGTTTTGTGGGGAAAAGAATACCTACCACGCAGTATGCAGAGGGCTGTACGCACAGGGCATGTATACTTAGCCACCTGTGCTTCGAGGTCCTGAGGACGACATCGGGAATCGGGTGAAAATAAATCAAGAGAGGTGGCCGAGAGTCCTCCCAGTGGTTCTTCCGCTCGTCGCAACGCAGCTGTGCCGACACCATCAACCAGCAGTGGTTTCAGCAGGATGGAGACTATGCTTGCACCGTCCTGAAGATCATGCATTGTCTCCGAGAGTGGATGTGAGATCGCGTAATTTTCAGTCAGGGCAACGCCATTGAATGGCCTCCGCGGTCACCTGACGTTACACCTTCATATTTTATTTTCTGGATACACAACGGAAAGGTTGTCTTTTAGGACAACCCAACGAGCCGGGAAGAACTAAAGGATGAGCCCTCCGAGCAAACATAAGCGGCATCTCACCAGAGAATCGCTCCAGAATAGTGGAGGAAGTAAAACGCAGTCTATTCGTGCCCGCGGCCCAAAATGGTAGCCATGCAGAAAAGCAGCAAATGTGGGGCTACGGGCCAATGTATTGACTCATATGTAATTATGTAGGTATATCAGAATAAAATTTCATAAAATGCTCTTTTATATGATGTCCTATTTATTTCTATCCATCGTGTATTTTTGGCGGTGTGGCCAAAACAAATGATGACCTTACTTTTGGGACACCCTGTATTTCGAGTATACCTATCTTTTTCAATTAATGGAGACATACCTACAATATTTTTGCTTCTCGAATAGCGATTTAGGTATAATCACCATTGCGATTTCATTCTAAAAACGAAAACGAATCATTTCTTCAAGCTGCAAATCGTTTCGTTTTAGGTTTACTGGGGTCTGGGCCTGCATTTTCTCCGAGTTTTAGTCCTCGTATTTTAGAGGGATCGAACGAACCCCTTCAGTTACCTGTAGGCCTGACAGCTCTTCTCGCGAAGGTCTTTTTTTCGGTCGAAAATGGCAGAACATGACGTCATTCTGACGTCGTTTATGGCCAACCTATCATAGCCTCTGGATTTTTTTGTCACAATGTGTAAAATTGATGCCCTGAGGGGTCCTGAAAGTTTAATGGCGATATCTCCAGCCGTTTAGGAGATATCTACGGAAAAGGACAGGGGGGCCGTTTCGCCCCCCCCCCTCCTACGGGGCGCGGGTTGAGCGGTAGGCTCGTATGATTGACAACTTGAAACAGTCCGTCTTGACCACTTACCAGAGTGGTCCGCCTTCGAGCAGTTACCGTCACGTGGATCAATTATAACCAGAACCACAGCCAGAGAGTGAGCACCTGGTGCCGGATCGGTATGAAGGGCGCGCCACCCTTTTCTGTATGTATGTACTTGCGGAGCGTCATTGGCACGGCATCCTGCACGGCGTTACCCGAGGCCCCTGAGGTCACCGCCGGCACCCGGGTCACCGCTGGCACCGGGGTGCAATGATCGCCAGCCGGTAGCCAGCTCCCAGATCCAGCAGCGGCGCCAACCCTATGATAATCTGTGGGAGCGCCTGTGACCTCCTTTGTCGCGTTGGAATCTAATTTTGTTGGCCGTCATCACCAGCATGAACCATTTGTCACCAAGGGCAATCAGAGCTCTCACCAGCCTGTCAACGATTATAAAATGAAGTACGAGTCACTGCTTCTGCAAGTCAGTTTTTTTTAGGACAGACGATGAAAGGGCACTTTGGTAGGTATTTGCAAGTGTGTAGGTACTGACGAGACTGCAGCTAACGATCGTAAGTGCCGGCGGGGTACTGCATGTAGATAATACTGTGTAATGTTTATCTGCATACATACGTCGTCCACTCCAGAAGTTTTGAGACTTTTTCAGTAGAGACATGTATTTATCTCGGAGAAGCATGAAACTTCAGTCACCCTCGAAGTAGGATCCCCCGTGTTCGATGCACTTGTTGTAGCGCTCCAGCCACTTCTTGAAGGCCCGCTGGAAGTCTCCCAAAGTGAAGGTGCCAAGGGCCTCTGTCACAGCATCCTTCATCTCTTCCTCATCCTCAAACCGGCGGCCCCTGAGTTTCTCTTTCAGTCTGGGGAACATCCAGAAGTCACAGGGGGCCAGATCTGGACTGTAGGGAGGATGAGGGACGGTTTTGATGCCCATTTCTGCCAGGTAGCTTGTCACCATGATGGACTTGTGGGTGGGTGCGTTGTCCTGGTGAAGGTGCCACTGGCCAGATTTGAAGAGTTCTGGCCTCTTGCGGCGAAATCTCTTCCTGAACTCACTCAGAACCTCCACATAATATTCTTTGTTGACCATCTGGCCGTGGGGGACCCAGTTGATGTAGATGATGCCTTTACTGTCAAAAAAAACGGAATCATCATGAGCTTTCCAGTGGACCTGCTCTGTCTGGCTTTCTTGGGTCTGGGGGAGTCAGTGTGCTTCCATTGGGCACTCTGTCTCTTGGTCTCTGGGTCGTAACAATAGATCCAGCTTTCATCACAGGTCACCAGAGAGTCAATGACACTCGGATTAGAGGCAATGAGCTGGACCATCTCCTTGCTGTCACCGACACGCCTCTCCTTCTGTTCGTCACTGAGCAGCCTGGGAACAAATTTCGCACAAACCTTACGCATGTTTAAATCTTCATGAATAACTCTGTGCACAGTTGCCTCACCAACTCCAAAATGTGCGGCAACTGTAAGAAGGGATACCCGACGGTCCTTATCCAAAAACATACGAAGTTTGTCCACAAGATCCGGCGTTCTGACGTCCCTCTCCCTCCCACATCTCTCCTCATCCCTCACTTCCTCTCTGCCGTCCGCGAACTTCTTGTGCCACCGGAACACAGTTGCACGGCTCAAAAAGTCTCTCCATATGCACCTTTTATCATGTCAAATGTTTCTGCGGCATTTTTACCAAGTTTAACACAAAATTTTATCGCATAGCGAGCCTCCAAGTTCTCTTCACGACAGTGGCGCAGCCAGGGGGGGTCAGAGGGTCAGCTGACCCCCCCGAAATTTCTGTCAGGGGCCCGCTCGAGAGAGAGAGAGAGAGAGAGAGAGAGAGAGAGAGAGAGAGAGAGAGAGAGAGAGAGAGAGAGAGAGAGAGAGAGAGAGAGAGAGAGAGAGAGAGAGAGAGAGAGAGAGAGAGAGAGAGAGAGAGAGAGTGAGAGAGAGAAACCGGGAGAACGGGCCCGGACTTGGAGCCCAGGTGGACGTGGCCCGGGCCCCCGTGGGGATAGGGCCCGGGCCCTCGGGTGAATGGGGCCCGGGCCCCGGGTGGATGGGGCCGGGTCCCCGGGAGAACGGGGCCCGGGCCCCGGGTGGATGGGGTCGGGCCCCGGGTGGACGGGGCCCGGGCCCCCGGTGGATGGGTCCGGCCCCAAGCCCCCGGGAGTACGAACCCCGGGCACCGAGTGGACTGGCCCGGACCCCCGGGTGGATGGGGCCCGGGCCCCCGGGAGAACGGGGCCCGGACTCGGAGCCCAGGTGGACGTGGCCCGGGCCCCCGTGGGGATAGGGCCCGGGCCCTCGGGTGAATGGGGCCCGGGTCCCCGGGAGAACGGGGCCCGGGCCCCGGGTGGATGGGGTCCGGCCCCGGGTGGACGGGGCCCGGGCCCTGGGTGGATTGGACCCGGGCCCCCGGGAGAACGGGGCCCGGGCCCCTGGTGGACGGGCCCCGGAGCCCCGGGTGGACGGAGCCCGGGCCCCGGGTGGATGGGGTCGGGGCCCGGGTGGACGGGGCCCGGACCCCCGGGTGGATTGGACCCGGGCCCCCGGGAGAACGGGGCCCGGGCCCCTGGTGGACGGGCCACGGAGCCCCGGGTGGACGGAGCCCGGGTCCTCGGGTGGACGGGGCCCGGGTCCTCGGGTGGACGGGGCCCGGGCCTTCGGGTGGACGGGGCCCGGGCCCTCTGATGGACGGGCCCCGGAGCCCCGGGTGGACGGGGCCCGGAGCCCCGGGTGGACGGAGCCCGGGCCCTCGTGTGGACGGGGACCAGCCCCCTGTGGATGGGGCCTGGGCCCCCGGGTGGATGGGGCCCGCTAGGGTGACCCGCTTGCTCCGCAACGCGAATAAGGGATATTTTCGATCGGTGGGCGTTTGATTGGTCTTGTGTCCGTGGGTCATGTATACATTTCGGTCGGTTGTTTTTTTGACGGCTAAGCATTTTGGTTTGGGAAAAAACATCCATCGCATCGAGGTGCTCGTGTCTGATAACCATACGTCTACTATAGAACTTGCCAAGTGTATTTTATAGCATAGGTTGACGTAGGTCATTGAAAAATGAGAGCCATAGATAAATTGCCATGTAGAGGTTTTTTCATATTTTTTTTAGAATACTGTTGCTCGTCTTGCAAGAGCGATGATTGGATCTTGGACAAAATTGAATGCTCTTTCCAACGATGCCATTTTTAATTGTCAAACGTATCAGGTTATGCAGCAAAACCCGTGTAATTAGGTAATTAAGTCATGAACAAATACCATTTTCTCCAGCGATTTGTTCCGCATTGTTTTTGATCAATTATCTTTTCACAAGTTTTCCTTGAGAGGCGGTACATTTCTCTTGCCAACAGGCGTTGTTTGAACCCGCTCCGTCTGACAATCACCCGAAAATAGCATTAAGTCCAAAATCCGTCCGAAGCGTCAATTTTTCAAGCATAAGTGCCCTCACGGGTGCACGTGGCGCGTGCCATCCCTGCACCGCTCACCATTCGATAGCCCGTTCGATCCTCGTATACGATACCTACTGTGTTCCCCATGCCGATCGGACCCACGGTTACCGAGATACCTACTGCACGGGGCCCGGACCCGTGTCGGGCAAATTTAGCCATTTTCGCCCAATTTTGCAAGCCGATTTATACATGTAAAGTCTATGACGCGAATTTGCACTTTTTGAGCACGCGCCATGTGCTCATCACCGGCCCGATCGAGCTGAGACCCCTCACAGGCACGTTCCCCATCCTTAATCTATAAGTTGCGCAAAGTTCAGCGCACTATGTAGGTGCAACGGTCTGGCCTGTACCTACCCCGGGATAAGTAACACCATGCCGGGACCACGGTGACAGACAGAATCTACGTCCCCACATCACCACACCACAACAAACCTGGCCCAAGGCAATACATGACCCATGTGAGCGCGTTAACCCTCGCCGGCTCAGGCCATTTTGCGTCCTTCGACGGCACAAGGGAGGGAGGGTACGACCCCCTTCCTCGCGTTTGGCCCATGATCGAGCTTCGCGGAAAAAAAAAACGAGCGTGTTGCCCGTGACGAGAGGAAGCCGATAATACCCAATTCCAAGGTCCTAGGTCATTGGTTGACCTTCCAGGTAAGGTCAATGGCCCAAATGTCGGGAAAATCGGGACGTGTTAGAACGTCGTAAAATGTGGCTGCTATAGGGTTTTTGTCGGGGTGCTGATCACGAATATTATGTTAGTTTTGATCACAGATGATGTCTTTATGCATTTAGGCCAGGTCGGGTCGGGTCAGGTCATGTCAACCAGTAGGGGTCCTGCCGGGTATTCGTAGTACCAACATGTCAACCGCCTCTGACAGCTTCGTAACATGTTACGAAGGCACCAAAACTGCTTCTTAAATGTTCAAATGGTTGCTAAAATCGAATTCAGCTAAAAAAAAACAGCCTAGAAACATGCATTACTTGCAAAAGTGTACCGAGGTCATCATAAGTCAATGACCTGACCTGATCTGACCTTGACATTGACATTGACATTGACATTGAGGTGACATTGACATCACCCTTATGCATGGGAGCAACATCAAATCACATGTTTGAACGCTTGAAACCACGAAAGGACTGCAAACGCGCGGCTAATGCGAGCCGGCATACGCCGAACCGCGATTCTGGCCAAACATGGTCTCGGAAAGTAAGTCAAAGGTCATTTGGGTCAGGGTCATGAAATATCTAGGGTAGGTAGGTGTAAAATTGATCAACGCGAGGGTGCTGAAAGTTACGTCGCGATCAGCCGCTTTTTACGCAAATTATTAGCGAAAAAAAACCTAAGGGGTGCATCAACCCCTCCCCCCTGTGCCGGCGAGGGTTAAAACTTTTTTGTGAGCAAATTCACGTAATGATCAAGAATAATGGCATAATCTACATATGTACTACAGCAGCCAATAGATGGCTTAAGACAGGCACATCAGCCTACTTAAATCTTGTCCGACAGAAGCAGGCAATAGTTCCGATTGCATATGCCTATATGCATATGCATATTGCGGAAGGGGCACTTTTCGGCCTCGAAAGATACGAATTCATACGTCATAGTAACATATTTCTGTTGTGGTCAATTTGCGTAAAAATTGAACACCGGGTGATTACCGAGCTATTGTTCTATCCAAATTTTCTGATTCATACTCGCTCAGGGTTATCGTGCAGGTAAAGGGGGCCCGCTCAGCAGAATGTGTATGAAATATGGAGAGACTCTGAAAAATGGGTGGGGGGTAGAGGTGGCAAAATGTGGACCCGAGGACCCGGTCCAAAGAACCAGTCTGGACCCATATGGGTCCAGACCGGGTCCTGGAAATTTTCTGACGGGTCCAACCGGGTCCTACCAGGCATAAACTATACATCTTGCACACTACACATTATTGCAAAATATGAAGTGAATGAAGTGAATGTTTCTTTGCACGCAGTAGCTCATGAGTATTCCCAGTGGGGAAAAGGCTGTTTTACATCAGCAAAATTATGATACGTACAAGTAGTTTGTATTGATTGACTTTTAGGGAATGGGTCCAACTGGTTCCGATACCAACTTAGACCGGGTCCGACTGGTTCCAGAAATGTCCAGTCGGGTCTGGTTCGAGTCTGGTTCCCAAAATTTTCAACTTTTGCCACCTCTAGTGGGGGGCCCGCACACAAGGGGGCCCGCTTTGGAGGTGATGACCCCCCCGAAACGAAATCCTGGCTGCGCCACTGCTTCACGACCTGACTGCATGCTGCATAACTGGCCACTGTGACAAGCCCCGTGGACCTTCCCGTGTTCAGGGTCATGCCCCAGCCGCTTCTTACCACGTAGAAAAACAAAATTAGGCACGTGCGTTAATGACAACTGTGGTAATGACATGTGAGAAGTATGTACATTTGCCTAGCACTGTTGATAGGGATTTTACGAGGGCAGTCTCAAAACTTCTGGAGTGGACCACGTATGTGAAGTCCGTGAAGAGCACGTTGGCGCAAGCAAACGTGATAGGGATCCTGGAAAAACGATTTTTTTTTTTGCATAATCACTCTATCGTCCGGTCCTGGGTTACGCGCATCGTCTGACAGTGACCACATGGGCCATGTTTCACGATACGCTGCTACCCGACGCTACCAGGCACTGGCGCTCCGTTTTCCGATGAAACGTTAGCCAAACTGCCTCCAGTTTACTTACATTTCCATGAAAACCGAAGTGCAATATCTGTTAGGCACCTTGTAGCTCCGGGTAGCGACGTATACCGTGAGGCATGGCCCAGGTCAGCCATGCTGAACTCGCCACCATCCTGGCAGTCTCGAGAGTCCAGCAGCCAAACTCCGACCAGCATGGCCCAGGTCAGCCATCCTCAACTCTGCCAATGCATCCTGCCGGTCTCGAAAGTTCAGCAGCCAAACTCCGGCCAGCAGCCGCACGGTGGTTGTGGCGTCAGTGAGCCGCACCTGCATATCGGCCCACAGCTGGACTGGAGTGGCCGAGATGGAGTGGCGGTCTTTGTGCTGCGTGCTGCTTATGGTGACGACGACCGGTTGTGTCACGGCCACGTCCTCCCGATGTGCCGCTCAGGAGGTCTTTCAACTCGTGACTGCAAGCGGTCCGTACTGGTAATGATCAGTTCGGGACCTCTTGAGGGCCTTTCGAGTCACGAGTGATAGCTTTAGAACGCTGAGTGGGTCACGATTAAGATTCAATGGCGTCAACCTTGCACTGCCACGATCCCTCTTTCTCTGGCCAACGGCAGTGATCACTCGTCAAGGCGTGGATATTGTGATCGTGATGCTGATAGAAAAAAAAACTGAAAGCTGAGCGATCGGTCGAAGGAATCCTGTCAAAAGTTCTTACACGAGTGACCTACGGACTACAGAGCATGAGAATGAAAAGTGTTTCGTCAACCGTCACAATTGTTACTTCTATTATGCGTTTTACCTATGGTGCTTTGTTTATGTTTCATTCACATTATCCTCAACTTTAGAGTGGGGTCTTCAGGTAAATTGCAGCGCTAGCAGAGCTGGAACAGACAAACCGATAGATCTGAGCCGATGCCCATCGCGACGCCGCTTCTGCCGTCCCGCAAAAATATCAAGTTTCGGAGATAAGGCGTTATGCGTATGCATAGAAGAGAACGTGAACAGCATCTTTCCCCTGTCCCTTGGTCAATGATTTTCGGTTGAGTAATGATTCAATAACAGCAGGCGTAGGTTGACAGAATCTGTCTTGATCATTCTTTGTAAAGCGGTTCATCACTGTTAGCTCCACAGACAGCGAAGAAAGGACCCAAACACACAAGCATCACTGTATTATTACCAAGGATCTCATCAAACGCCTTATACCTATGGCGCATCGCATACCTATGCATAACTATGAAAGGTTACAACATAGTGAGATCACCCTGTAGTCGTCTGTCATGTCACGATACATCATCACAATAGGTCACTTGATACAGGCCACCTGTCCTATACACCTCACCAGAGGGTCAGCATTCGTAGTAATCAGTCATCGCATAACCCTCATCAGCAGTAAATAAAGCACCATATGCCACGAAAGCAGGTCCGCACACCAGCTCATATCCACTTATATCAGCTGTGCAGCATACACCATCACCGAGGGCAGTTGCCGCCAACCCCGCTGTCTAGCTGCCATTAATTTAGGACCCTTTAAGCCTGCCCTTTTCAACATCATCATTGAATGCTTAGGTGCAGCATTGTTCGCATACAATTGTGCATTAGCGCGAATAAAATAGCCAATTTTGTTTGGGCCACTTTGAACTTCAGGGAAGTATCAGTCAAGATACTTGCTGTTCAAACATAACGCTTAACGAAACTGGAGCCCGGATGACCGCAGTCTCCGGGCGACGCATGGGCTCAGGCAACTTCCTCCCAACACGCGAATATCATGCGCATTGCGTATTTAGTATTGCGAGCCAGCATTATGTAAGGGCCAATGATATTTGTGTGGGATGGCGAAAATAGGGCATCAAACATCAACATCAATAAGTCATCAAACGGCTACCGCCCATGCAGTAAATACTTCTAAGAACATTAATTAGCAAAACTAACAAAATAACCCCGTAACATCCAGCAACACTCCTTTGAAGTTTCTTTTTAGCTCCCTTTGCACTGCAATTTAGCTCCTCACAAGCTATTTGTTATCTCCTTTTGTTGCCACCGTTACCATTGTTCCCATTGTTACCATTGTTTCCGTTGTTTCCATTGTTTCCGTTGTTACCATTGTTTCCGTTGTTACCATTGCCGTTGTTACCATTGTTTCCATTGTTCCCGTTATTCCCGTTGTTGCCGTTGTTCCCGTTATTCCCGTTGTTGCCATTGTTCCCGTTGTTGCCATTGTTCCCGTTGTTGCCATTGTTCCCGTTGTTGCCATTGTTGCCATTGTTGCCGTTGTTGCCATTGTTCCCGTTGTTGCCATTGTTCCCGTTATTACCATTGTTTCCGTTGTTGCCGTTATTTCCGTTGTTACCATTGTTTCCGTTTCCGTTGTTAGTGTTTGTGTTTGTATTCGTGTTTGTATTATCACCACCCGTGTTTGTATTCATGGAGTTGTCGGTTATGGTGGTGGTGACTGTATTCATGCTGGTCTGTGTGGCTGTGTTGGTGTTTGTCGGCGAGTTGGTAAGGGTGATGGTGACCGCGTTGGACAGGTTGTCGTCGTCGTTGTTGGTAAGCGACGTCGTGCCTCCGGCGTTGACCGTGACCGCTCCGGAGCTTCCGGTGCTGGTGGTGGTGGTGGTAGTGGATCTGAAACAAAGAAAACAGGATACAGTTAGAGCAAAACGAGGTAGCTCGAGCTGAGTTACCAAACACTTGTAGCATGTAGCTCTCACCAACCAAGTGGTTGTCAGTTATCTGATGGTCGTGCGGGTGGCCCTGCCTCGAGAACATAATTGAATAATTTACTGAATGATTACATAGATATATGAATAAGGGTGCCCGTGGCTATGACCATTGCCCTGATCTGTGAATGATTTCATAGGCGTTATAGGCCCACAACCTAAGTCCTAAACAGGCATGACAAGTCCAACGTATTCAAATATCCTAGCGAGTCTTGTTCGCTGTAGCCCGAAACTTCTGGCTGACAGTCCACAACACAAAATTTGTCGTTTAGGGAAGACATTACCCTCGCCGCCGTCTAAAACGGCTCTGAAGCTCTGTGCGTCACACTGTCAAAGACTCCCCGTAAACGATCTTACCTGGAGAGACCGAGCAGATAGACGAGTCCCAGCGCCGGTATCCAGAAGCTAGTGCTGAGGAACTTTCCCAGTGCGCTGCCATGGAGTAGGCCGGTCTTGTACCCATTTTTCGGTCTCACGTGACACTTGCAGACCTTGGTATTGACTGCCACGGGAGCGTAGCCAGAAGATACTCGTCGCTGCTGTCGATGCTCCTGCTGGTAATAGTTCTGATATTGTCTCTGCAGCTGATCGTTTCGCTGAGTTCGTGGCGTGTCTGACCGATCCTGAGCACCAGCTGATCGGCGAGCCGCCATCCATCGGCGCAGGCCGTGGAGCCTCCTGGACATCATCCTGGGGAGCCCAGACACCGCACTCTTCACCCTCAACCACAGCCGCCCAGCTCGGGAGCTTGGGCGGTTGTGGGGACGAACGAGGCCCACTCGGTTTTGAATGACAGGATTAGCCGTCTCAAAACCATTCGAGTCATCACGGCTGCTTTGTCGCGAGCCCCCAGCTTCATCCGTGTAGTTTACGTAAACTGAAGGCGAGTTGTTCTCCACACCAACACTATAGAAAGACGCCGCTGCTGCCGAATTTCTGAACCATTCGTCGCTATGATCGCGTCGGACAGTCTGTGCCTGTTGAGTCATCCGCTGCAGGTCCGTGAGGTAGGCCAGTGTCACAGGACGAGTCCTCGACCGGTCGTCGTCGGTCGTTGATGGCACCGACCTCCGGACTCTGCCTGGAGAGGTCCACCAGCCCTCAGGGATGTCGTGGGAATCGAATGATGCCTCGCTATCGCCACTGACGTCCTCTGATCGCGGCAGTTTGAGACTGTTCGCGGTTTGTGTCGGCTGTTCTCCGGTTTGTGTCGGCTGTTCTCCGGTTTGTGTCGGCTGCTCTCCCGTTTGATGCCACCCGGATGAGAGGCCAAACACGTTGTTCATTGGTATAAAGATGTCTGATTCGGTCTTGGAAGCAGCAGCCAGGTCAATGAAGTCGGCAAGCACGTCTGAAATGAGCGACATCATGTCACAAAGGGAATGACATCGTTATGGGTTATCGTGCGCACAAATGTCTAGATTAAATTAAGAACATTATCGTCGTCGAGGTCGTTATACTATGTAAAGAGAGAGTGTTTCTTTCCAAAGCGCTAGTTATCGAACGCTACTTGTTCTCACTCAGCAATCCATTATTTTGCCCTAAAGCCTGCTTGACTGGCTATTTTCAATGCTGCCGCCTCCGGCCTGAGTCTGATTTCCACAAAAGACGCTAGCTCACCTCCGGCTGGTGGCAGCTCACCTGGGTCGAGCTGTTTGATGACATTCTCCAACTGAAGACACGTCTCAGGGCTGATAACCTCGGCTAGTGTATCGCAGACAGAGATGGGACCAGCTGCTAAGTCCCTGCCTCCAACGGCGGCAGGCCCCATCCAGGCAACGCTGGCCGCTAAGACGGCCCAGAGCACGATAGTGGCGGTCGCCTGAGGCAGGCAGTTGATATCTTAGTCACGATAGGGCAGGTGAACCAGTGACGTACCCAAAGGGGGGGGGGGTCACGGGGGCCAAGGCCCCCCCCCCCTGAGCGCCGAAGGCGCTCAGGGGGCCCTTCAGGCCCCAGGATATTTTTTAAACACTGGATAAAACGTCTTTTACTCGGAAGAAAAATTGATATTAAAGTTTCATTTATGTGCCCTTGGTACCCGAGGGGCCCCTGCAGTCATCCAAGGGCCCCCAGTTTCCTGGGCCCCTGGTCGCCTAGGGGGCCTCTGGTAGCCGGGGGCCTGGTCTCATGGGGCCCCTGATAGCCTGTGGCCCCTAGTCGCCTAGGGGGCCCTGGTCGCATGAGGCCCCTGATTGACTGGGGGCCCCTAGTTGCCTAGGGGCCCTGATAGCCGGGGGCCTGGTCGTATGGGCCCCTGATAGTCTGTGGCCCCTGGTCGCCCAGGGGGCCCTAGTCGCATGGGGGGCCTCTGGTTGCATGATATTGAGGCCCCTGATCGCCTGGGGGTACCTAGTCGCCCAGGGGGCCCCTGGTAGCCGGGGGCCTGGTCGCATGGGGCCCCTGGTTGCCTGGGGCCCCCGGTCGCCCCTAGTCGCCTGGGGGACCCTGGTCGCCTTGGGCCCCTGGTAGCCTGGGATCCCCTGGTCGCCTGGGGGCCCCTGATCGCCTGAGGGCCGCTGGTCACCTAGAGGGCCCCTGGTCGCCTGGGGGCCCCTGGTAGCCGGGGGCCTGGTCGCATGGGGCCCCCTGGTCGCATGGGGGCCCCCTGATCGCCTGGGGGCCCCTGATCGCTTTGGGGACCTGATCGCATTGGCCCTTGGTCGCCTGGAGGGCCCTGGTCGCCTGGGGCAGTGGGGCCCCTAGTCATCTGGAGGACCTGGTCGCCTGGGAACCCCTGGTCGACTGGGGGTCCCTGGTCGTCTGAAAATACGCTTATCACCTGATTGATCCCAAATCATCTGAGTGGCTACTGGCTACTGGATATAAGTAGTGACTGGAGTAGGCACTCATCTGAAGGAGCCAATATCTTTCACAGTGCCGGAGATATCACAGAAAAACAAAAAGGCTAAACTGAATACCCCCCCCCCCCAACCTTGGCCCCAAAGGCGTCATTGTCTAACACAGGGATGTGGGTCGATTTGCAATCGCATTTCCTCCGAAGTCCTATTCCTCCAATTAATACAGAGTGTCCCAGAATTACCCAAGCATTTATTTTCTGGCTAAAAGTACAATTGCGCTCGTTTCCTAGCGAAACATATGATAACCGCGTTTACTTAGGGCTAGTTGCCAGATAGTGGAATTCCGATAAGGAGACATTTATTCCCCACTATTATATTATATACCTACATATCCGGAATTGGAGGATGTTCAGTAATTGAGGCGCTCGCTCATAAAATGCCGTGCGTCTCATGCACACTCCTCAAGCAAAAATATTTTTACTTTCCAATTTTCCACATTTTCTCAAGGCTTAGACCGTTACAGAGACCGTTTTAATTGACTTTGATGAAGTTGAACGCGAGAAATCACAACCAAATGCTACATAAGTTGTAAAGAACTGAATTGCGTTTTCCCACACACGTGGCGTTTTCTCACCTACGTCTGCAGGAGAGACCGGACCCACTATGCCCCCCCCCCCACCATCGAAAGGTTCTTCGTGACTCCCGGGGGCCCCCGGGGAACCTGGGGGCCCTATACACTGTGGGGGGCCCCTTCGAAAGCAGGTGGCCCCCTCCTGGGCGAAATCCTGGGTACGTGCCTGAGGTGAACATATAAATGCTGTATGGAATCCAGCATACCAATGACGTTGGCACCTAAAAGCATCACTGTGTCCATGATCCATGGTCTACAATTTCCTGGTCCTATACCTAAAGAGGTCTAGGGCTTATCACACTTGTGATTAAACTTGAACCGATTCTAAACGTTCGGGAAATTTGCATCAGATTATTCATCCAACCACAACGTTCAAACTAATTCAGTTCATGGCCATTCAGCAGCAAAGAACACAACTGTTTTCTTTTCTTCACAACATGGGCGTGCTTCTGTGCCTATTGTGACTCGACCTCCATACATGATCCTAATGACAGTCAGCCTTTGACAGACATGGACTGACCTTCAGACCTCCGCTGGCTGCTCCTGGCTCTTCAGATCCCAGGTCATCTGACCTGGCACAAGCTCGGTAACACTGGTCGTTACGTTCCAAGTCAGAATCTTCATTGTTGAATGGAACTAAGCCCCTAAAACAGCAGCAACAACAACGCTAGAGTGAAGGACATGCACCAATGCAAGATCAACTTCTCAGTTGTGGCATGGTGATTGCCGATTGGCATACATGAATATGAAATACGAAGAAGCCACATTTTGCTCTATCAAACCCAAACGGTGCTACTTAGCCCTCGCCCTTCTAGGACCCGGGCTAAGTATGTAGAATCGTTTTGAAAGAAAAGCATCAATTGATTTTGAATCGCCGACATAATGCTTAACAGCTTTGTTTTTACTGTTGCAGAAGGTAAAACAACTGTTTTGACCTGACGTGTGAACTCATCGGTAGCACTTTACATGTCAACGAAACAAGATCACCAGTCAGATCATTTACGGAGCATTTAATGATTTTTTTCTTTTAAATGATTGCTCGATACGGATAATCAGCTTAGAGGTTGCCGAGGCAGCAGAGGGACCGAAACGTCCCCCTTCCTCCTTCGGCAGGTGGGGTCCGGCACAAGCCCTAAGGAACACTGATGACAATGCCTCGCTCGGTTGTAGGTAATGTAATATTCAGCTAGTAGAGGTGAATATTACACTGATTTTTAACCTTTGACGGCGAATTGGGTTGTTCGCAAATTGGCAGATCACTTGCACTTACCTTATAAGGTGGTACTGAGTTAGAGCCTTTATGACATCACTCAGATCCTGTTGAACTTGTTCGGTCACGTCGCTGGAAGGGTTGTCTGCATTCGTCTGAAGACGCGGTTCAATAGCTTTCGCGGACTGCGATGCATCCTGTGGGTTCCAGTGGCGAAGACTCGAACGCACCATTGCAAGACTATCAGAAGTTTTATCAGTTATGTCTTGAATATAGTAGTTGATTCCTGAGCTAAGATTATGACGGAGTTGTGTAAGCCAGGAGCTCGTCTGAAAGCCCGGCTCTGATCTATGAGCTGGTTCCAGTCCTGAACTATGATGCGCGCTGGCTCTTGGAGCATCAAATGGCGAGTTGAACGTTGCGCTGCTGCTGTACGACCTCTGCTGTGGACCTGTGTGCCGGCCGGCGCGTTCTGCCGAATCACGCTGGTTGACCGTCGCGGACGCCGCCCGCGGAGAGGATTGTGTGAATGCGCGCTGATCCTCGATGGATTCGCCCGACTCACGCGACCAAACTGCTTGGCTCGTGACACTGTTCCTCTGGGATTTGTTGTTCCCAGCTGTAACTGGTTCTGCCTGGTCGCTCCTGCGCTGAAACTCGCGGGCTTTGCTGTTATGCACCGCATAATACCTTTGGTTGTTTCTTGGTGCAGTCATCCGCCATGCTGCCTTTCGCACTTCTTTTCGAGGCTCCCACGAATTTAGGCTCGGATGAATCCCATTTCTGTTTGAGATGTGAGCTACGTTCCTGCTATTTCGCGTTTCATGACGATCTTCTCTATATCTCGAGGTAGGATGCGGTAGCGTAGTTTCTCGTTGGGAAGCTTTCCATGTGGCATTGAGCTGCGTTGTGTTTTCCTGGAACTGAAGTGTATGGAAAACACTGTTGTTTGTCCGTCCATCTGACATCGCGATGCTCCTTCCAAGCTGTTGAGCCTCAACAGAGGATACATATGATGAAGGTGACCCTCGACCATCATCCGTTCTCCCTCCGGGCGCCGTCCGCCATGTGGCAAGCGACGTCCTCTGACCTGTGGCATTCACAGGAGCAGAGGCCACCGGTGCCGGCAGCAGGAGCGGCGAAATCAAAGACACAAATGACAGGAGAGTCGGCAGAAGTCGCAGCAGAGGACGGCCTCTAGGTGGCCACCGTAATCTCGCTGCTGAATGAGCCTCGGCCATCTCCTAAAGGGCTGGGTCTTCTCCGGTAATCACTCAATTTCACTCTTTGTTGGTGACAGCCGCCCCACTTTGGCGACCTCTGCAGCAGATGTGAACCAACTTTACAGCGACGTCCCTGCAGAAAGAGAAGATTGAAATGTTAATGTCACGCAACGGATGGCAACTCTACCATTATATAACGGCAGTCATGTATCATAATTATCGAGAAAATAAAACGAGTCTTGGATTTTGGGATGACGATGCATAAGTTTGCAAACTCTGACGCATACCGACGTTTTCACAGCCGCTAACGCATAAAAAGGGCCGATGCCTCCTCCCCCTGATGATTACTGATCTGATCGATTAGTAGATAGATTAGTAGATTGAATAGTAGATAGATTACTAGATATATGCTCGATTACTGATCGAGGTAGAGCTTCACTTAAAAGCGAGCGCGTGGCTCGCAACTCACGAGACAAAGTCGATGGTGCAAGATTTTAACGCCTTTGGTCATTGGTTTATGGCTGACCTTCCAGGTCAGGCCAATGACCCATATGTCGGGAAAAGCGGGGTCTGCAAGAACTTGATAAAGAGAGGTTACTAGAGGGTATTTTTATGTTTCTTTTGAATCTGGCAATCGTTTTGCTAAACAATGATGTATTTGTGCGTTTGAGTAGGTCAGGTCAGGTCAGGTCAACCACGAGGGGTTCCACTGGGTATTCATTACGGAGCGAGCGAAGCGAGCGGAGTGTTTCCTTAGATTAACGGAAATTTCTGAGTATGAGCGGCCGGCCATGTTTCGCGAGGCTTATATCTCAGCAACCACTTGACCGATTTACATGCGGTAAATTTTGTAAGGTAGCTTCATTCCTTCTACCAAGTATTGGACTATTCCCGATGCATGTGGGTGACCCCTTATGCACGTGCCACGTGCAAAACGAAGAGGTGTCAGTTTTGTAATTGTTGCAATATCTCGGTAACTACTTGGCCGATTGCGCTGAAACTTGGCATGCAGGTAGGCACCCACTAGGCACTGCATATCCATGTGCCAGAGTTCGGGTGCTGCTGCACGTGCGCACGTGCAGGGGTCGTTTCCAGATCTCGAGAACGGCTCAACCGATTGCGCTCAAATTTGGTACACGGTTAGGGACCGGCTAGTAGGGTGCCGTGCAAAAGTCAGTCGGGACCGATTTTGCACGTGCGCACGTGCAGGGTGCCGCTTCCAGATCTCGAGAACGGCTGGGCCGATTGTGCTCAAATTTGGCACATCGCTAGAGACCGGTTAGTAGGGTGCCGTGCACAAGTCAGTTGGAGGTACCCCCTCGCAACTTCGCACGTGCAAGGCCCACCCTCTCGCTCGCTCCGTTAGTCGCCCCAAAAGGCGTTATACTGGTACTTGGTAGTAGATGTTTACCATGATCGACAGCTTTGCAATGCTGTGCATGGTCATCGAGACGCTCTCTCACATGCCCAAATCGGAGCTAAATCCAAAAACAGCTTCCGAAACCACCCTAAATGCTGTTAACCTATTAAATTCAACCAAAGGTCATATGAAGCCCATAACATTAGCCTGACCTTTACATGACCTGACCGCCATCGTAATCCACGCGGAAAATATTGTTGTTTTACATGCTTGCAAGTCTCTAAAAACAAGTGTCTCGAAACGTACAGATGTGAGCTGATAAAAACGTTGAACCTACAATCTGATCTCTCATTGTCTAAAAAAACTCATTTTTCAAGGACCACAAATCGTTTAGGTCAGGGTCGTCACATTTTTGGAGAGGTGCAAAATCGATCAACACAAGGCTACTGAAAGTTTATTCTGATATGCCGCTTTCTAATTTAGTTATTTGTAAATAAGGGGAGATCCGTTCTTTCCCCCCCCCCCCTAATCATTCTAACCCATATTCGTTTCATACGCCTTATTCTTAGCATGTGTACCTACTTGATATTTACAATTTCATTTACTATAATTCTTACTTTTGTTTCTTTGTGGAAGTCAAGCCAGAAAAGAAAATCCATTCAACTTAACCCGGCCAGGCCCGGGGGGAGGGTTAATCCCAACCACCGCAGGGGGGATATTTAACCCTTGTCTTACTCTGTAAATATAGGAGGTATGGAAACAAGAACGGTACCAAACGAAGGTCTTTACAAGACGATTCCACAGCATCTAAAATTTTTGACCTCAGGTCAATTTTCAAGGTCAGAGGTCAGGGTCAATGGCAAATTCATCATATAATTCATCATCAAATTCATCATATAGCACCTTCAAAGTGTCAAGGTCAGCCAAAGGTCATTCGAGGTTACATTAGGTCAACATAAGACTTAACCATCTCTAAACAAAATATATGGCATTTAACGCGTCATGACAAGACGAATGCGTTGGTACCACTGCCTTAGCTCTACAGCCCTTTCTTGCTGAAGTTATTTGTGAAAAACTAAAATTCAAGCTCGGGGTCGTTGACCTGACCTCTGACCTCAGGTCACCAGCATTATTTTTGTATTTTTACCTTAGTCATGTGCTACACAACCGTACTCGAAATTTGTCTCTGGCTCCCAAACTCAATTTTTGGCAGCTGCTTGAAGTTCACGTCTGTGACGTCGAAATTTGCCGTGCAAGGGTCTAGGAAAATGAACCCTGTGACGTCATCAAGGGAACTTGGTCTAAATTTTCTAATCCAGGAGATGTGAAATTGATAAGGAAAAAGGTACTGAAGGTTTTGCGCCTCCACCGCAAAGCGCTCAGGAGCTATCGCAAATATTCTTCAGAGGGGGTAAATATTGTCCATCCGGGCCCGCGCCGCTAATAAGAGCCCACCCCGTTAGCCCACTGGACATTAGTCAGTCTCCCGTCGGGTCACTGCAGTGGTGAAAGCGGCCACTTCGAGCCGTTTCGGCGCTAGCTATTTGCTGTTGAAGAATTGCGTTACAGGTCAGTTGAAGCTGGCGTGTGGGGTCAGGTTATGTCCGGCTAATTGGGCATAATAAGCGTTCGACTCGAAATTCTACCGGTCTTAGCAGGAAATTCTGCTAAACAGTTCCTTGACTTCAAAATTCGCCTGCACAAAACACTTTTTTTCTCAATCTACTCAACAGAAACTGGAGCTGCGTAGTCTTTTGACAATGGTGTTGCATATGACTCAATGCACGTCCAGAGCCTACTATATCCCTGACTATATCCACCTTTTTAGACGCAATTTCACAAAGTTAACACGCGCAGTGGAAGGGTTGCGAGTACTACGCCCAGTGGAAGGGGGGGGGGGGAGCGGATGGCGCCCGGAATTTGGAGGGTAGGTGGGGGCCCCGGGGGCGTATTCGCCAATTGTATTACACGAATCGGCCAACCACTAGCTTGCCTCCTGAGTGACGTCAGCGTGGCGTCATACTTTCGGTCCTCGCCCTGGTGGCGTCTATTGAAGCTATGTTTTAAGTTATTGACATTTAAGCTACATGGGGTACATTATCGCCGTGGCGAAGTGGTTAGAGTATCGGACTGGTAATTCAGAGGTAGGTGGTTCGAATCCACTCGGCGACTTCGATTTTCGTGTCATCTGTCATTGTGCGTTTTTTATACATTTGTAACGGCGTGCACCTAAGAAATCAGACGTAGGCATTCTTCTAATGAATATGTTGCATAAGATAGATATTTGCAGTCCAACCGATTGGTTCGGTTTCGGTATTTTCCAATGGTCTTTGTTTGTATTTGGTTTGGTAGCGGTGTTCTGATTTTCTGTGATTGACATCACTAATGCATAGTGCTTACTATGCGAACGTAGCCAATGGAAAGACAAATGGTGCTGGGCGATGGCCATTCATTGATCAATATTTCTCACTGCCAATGGGTGATAGCACGCAGCATTGACAGGGGCGGCGCTGACCTTTTGAAAGTAGGTGGGCACTTGGCAAGGTAAAGTACCTAAAAGTAGCGAAACCTAAGATGAAAAGTAAAAATCGCACGCTGGTAAGCAGGCTATTAGATAGCTTTTCGTGTAAGAATCACCATGCACAAAAAAAGTTCGGCATAGCTGTTAGCGAAATCACGGGACGAGATAATCAGTTTCCAGCCGTCAGAGCGTCATCTATAGGAGCTATGCCCTAACTATAACTTTTACATTTCAGCCGCCAGGGGGATACCTAAGTCCTCTTACTTGGAATCTAGTTAAAGTCAAAAGATTTATATTAGACGTTTATGAAGATAACTTGGGACTGGTTGTTAAGTTGCATGCTCACGGCGGGCTGTCATCAATTTATCTCTATACATGTCTTATCTGATCGAAGAAATAATACAGGAATCCGTTGTCATTCGAGTGTGTTTCATAATAGCTCTTCCGACTTTGACGAATATCGACAGTGCCGTAACAAAATTGGTAGTTCAGGTATAGACTGCAACTGCAGTTCTTTTGCAACTTATTCCTTAATCAGATGAACACTTGTCAGAGATTTATTGGGCGTACGATATTGGCGTGCGAACGTAGGGGCCAAAAATGCGCGTCTACGACCGACTTCTTTTTAAGAGAAAAAGAACCGCTGAAGCAAGAATCGATCCACCGACCTGTCGTTCATCACACGAGACTCTAACCACTCGGCTACGGCGACACATACATGTCTGATAGCCATATACAATGCAATAATAGTCTCAACTCAAATCTAGCCTCAATGCATGCATTGTCGCGGCGGATGGCTATGACGTCGCACTAGAGATGTCGCTAGTTGATGGGCCGATTCGTGTAATACAATTGGCGAATACGCGCCCCGGGGAACTCTGTTGTGTGTGAATTTCATGACCCTAGGTCAATATCTTCAAGGTCAAATGAGGTCAAATGTGGTCAAATCTGCCATATGAGCGACTTTTTGCGTTTACACGCCGATAACTCAAAAAGTTACCGGCCGATTTTCTTTTTTCTTTCACTATACGAAAGAACATACATTTGTGAGTATAAGGGGTGAATTTCTAGTTAATCAAGCAATAAATATGGCAGTTAGAAGCCTGCTAAGGGTAAGATGTCGCCGGCTGAAGCGGGATCGACGGACGCGGGAAAAGCGGCAATCACAATTTTGTGTTTACACACTCATAACTCAAGTTTTTACCGACCGA